TCAAATTCAACAGAACGTCGATGTCAGTCAGTCGTCTCTTTATACCGACGGTTGGACTCCAACAGATTAGCTGGAGTCTCCTCGTGAACCTGCTCCAAACTACGAACAAAGTCAACAGCCTTCCCGTGCAACAGAATCTTAGAGGGAAGAGTCAATAAGTCAACAGGACTGCAGGGCAGAATACTATACACAATTCGAAACAGACTGAAATCAGTGTTCCTATTTCGAGCATGATTATAAGAAAACTCTGCCTGGCGAAGCCGCTAATCCCATGAACGAAGATTATCCCCCTAAGCACCTCAACAAATAACCCAAAGATTGATTCACTACCTCAGTTTGCCCATCTGTTTGAGGGTGGTAAGCACTACTAAAATTGAGCAATGTGTTAACTGACTTCCATAAGCTCCGCCAAAAGTGACCGATGAACCTTGTGTCTCTGTCGACACAATAGAAATGGGCAAACCATGAAGACGATAAATCTCTCTGAAAAAGAGCGGGAAACCTTGACAGCATCAGTGGCACGCTTACAAGGTATGAATTGCACCATTTTCAAAAATCAATCCACAACCACAAAAATGGGGTCATTACCACGCTGTGTGCACGGTAAACCCAGGATAAAATCCATGCTAATATCTGTCCACGGAGCTGAAGGCACTGGTAAGGGTCGATAAAGACAAGCGTCCATGGCTTTCCTTTTTGCCATATGACACACCCTGAAAAATGAAGCACTAAGGAGAGCTAAAGTGAAATCTCGCCCCACATGACCCTCACCGTGAAACTCTTCAATCAATTTCAAACGAATGCTGCAATATGGTATACACAATTGAACACCCTGTAACACATAACCGTCCTCTAACAGAAAGGGAGGATGAGGTCCCTACAGTAAACTGTGAAAAATGGAGCCAAAATAAGAATCATTAGCATAAAGAGAGGCAAATGTTTCAAACCCCGTAACTACCACATGTAGATGTGCTAATAACCCATGTCGCCGACTGAGCACGTCTGCCATACGATTAGAAGAACCAGCCTGATGGTTAATGACAAATTTGAATTGCTATAAGAAGGCAATCCACGATGCATGATGGGCAGACACAGAATCCTGGCTGGACAAATGCTTGAGAACCTCATGATCACTGTATAAGATAAATTCCCGCAGAAATATATAATGTCGCCAATGCATATGGCCTAAACAACGACATAAAATTTTGTATCATAAGTGCTATATCTCCCACGAGCCCTTGCCAACTTCTGACTGAAATAAGCTATTGGTTTTCCCTCTTGACTGAGAACAACTCTAATGCCCAATTTAGAGGTATCGCAATGTAAGGTTAAAGGCTTTGCGAAACCAGTCAATGCAAGTATCAGGGCTGAAGTCAAGAGCTCCTTAATAACCACGAATGCCTTCTTAGCCTCGGGTGTCCATTGAAACTTACTCTCCTTCATGCAATTAGTAATGGAAGACATGATGGTGCTAAAATATTGAATAAATCGTCAATAAAACGACGCCAAACCATGGAAACTCCACACATCATAAACTGATTGTGGCCGTGGCCACTGTCGAATCACATCAATCTTAGCTAAATCTACCGTTACCCCACTGGCTAACACAACATACCCTAAAAACAGAACACTATCGATATAAAATACACACTTATTACGAGCTACAAAGAACTCTTCCCTACGCAAAACAGCAAGGACGTCCCTTAAATGCATACCATAAGATTCCTCTGACCCACTGTATACCAATATATCATCGAAGTATATAACCAGACACTTACCAATAAAGGGTCGAAGGGCTTGGTTCATAATCCGCATGAACGTGCTTGGTGCATTGGATAATCAGAAGGGCATAACCAGCCACTCAAACAATCCCTCATGTGTCTTAAACGCTGTCTTCACTCATCACCAGGATGGATTCTGATATGATGGTAACCACTTTTCAAGTCCAGTTTGGTAAATACTGTTGCTCCTGCCAACTGGTCAAGTAAATCATCTAATCTCGATATTGGGAAGCGATATCGAACTGTTATTTTGTTGATGGCTCTACTATCTATACACATCTGATAACTTCCATATTTCTTTGGCACTAAAAGCACGAGGACTGCACACGGGATGAGGCTCTCTTTGATATAACCCCTATGCACCAACTCCTTTACCTGTCTCCTCAACTCTTCATGTTCTGCCAAGCTCATTCGATAATGTGGACGGTTAGGCAGCGATACACCAGGTATCAAATCAATCTGGTGCTGTATATCCCGCAAAGGAAGAAGACCATGTGGAAGGACTTTGGGGAACACATCATGAAATTTAGATACCAAGGTGGCAGCTTTGGGGTGAAGACCCGCCTCCGAGGCTGCCATAGGAATTGTCGACACTCCCGTCGCCTTAGTTTCCACTAACAACAATACGATACCTTCCGCCAACATCTCGCGCACAAACAAGGATTGGGAAAGTAGGTTACTACTGTTCCCTGTTGAAGAGATATAATGAGCATCCTTGGAGGGTAGTAGTACAATCTTCTTACTCGAAAAGGTGAACGTATATGTGTTCTGACGTCCTTCATGACATACATCCCTATCAAACTGCCATGGACGTGACCTATCAACAGATGACACAAGTCCATAGGCACCACATCACACCAAACACTATCATGATACAGACTGCCAATAGAGAAAGATACCTACATGTCTAGTAACACAAATTTCATTTCCTCGTCCCAACCATGCCAGGCTATAAGGAGCATGGTGGAGTTCGGAGCCTAACTTTAGCTTTTGTACGATCAAGAAGCCTGGGCGTAGCTGTCTCTGGGATGGACAATCTCTCTTCAAATGACCAAAACCACCACAAACCAAAACACTGACTTCCACGCCCTCGTCCACCAAAAGGAGCCCAGTCGCCCAGACTTGCGACTGGAGGAGCCGCTGGCCAAATGTTCCGATCAACGCCCCGATCCCCAGATGTGGAAGATTGGGATGGACCGATGTAGGATTTG